TTATAGAAGGATTAACTGAAGGAAGTATACATGCATCATGTGATAATATTATAACTTTTAACAACATATATATGTGTCAGAGTACCAAAATAAATATTAAATAACTCATAGAAAGATTTTTATTTGGTTGGCAGAATGTATAAACAAAATAGGTATATCTAAAGATCATTGGAATAAGAGGAAAAGTTGCTTGAGACGTGTGAAGCATGACATATAAGTGGAGAAAGAATTAACCAAGAATAGTCATGTGAAACATGAATGAGCTAGCAACATCAATAAATGCATCAATTTTAATTTCATCGAAACTATTTTATTAGGATAAGAAAATTTAGTATGTAGTGTTTAATGAAATTAGAAAACTAAACTTTTATTGCTTGATAAATATTTGAAATGTATAAATGATTACATAATAACATTCAAATAACAACACCCAAGTAACAACTAATAAAATATTAATTAAGGTTGAAACACAATGAATGCATGTATGGGTAAAGATTATGCCAGTAAATTAATTTTTTAAGTGAATTAACACACACACACACACATGCATAGACACACAGACACTTAGACACACACACACATAGAAAGAGAGAGAGAGAGAGAGTGATAATAATGATTATTAATAGATGATAAGGGCATGTGATGGTGTTTACTCAATTCACATACATGGCCATCAAACTTCAATGAAGTTCCAAAAGTATATTAGGTTAACAACAATCTAGCAAAATTACAAAAGAAAAGGAGTACTAATAAAAGAAAGATCAGAAGGAACACCAATCATATGGTAGCATATTCCACAATCTCAACATCTCTACTATCATTTTTGAATTTGGATCCTAAAATATAATGAGTGGGATATAATGTTATATAATATTAATTTGAGTGTGATAATTATAAAGACAATGGATAAATAATATATTTATAAAAATTAGAGGATGTAGAAAACGTGAGAGATAGAGAGAGATAAACTGAAGGAGGGAGAGAGGGAGAGAAAGAAGCTTCAAAAGTTTCATAAAACGTTTTTAGAGATTGGAGGAGGGGATGCATCAATGACAATCAATAAATTAAAAGAGAATATATTAAGAGAAGAATAAATTTTGAAGCTTAGTAGTCTAATAAAAAAGGGCATCACAATCCAAAATTCAAGGCTTATCAAAAATAGCTAATTGCAACAGAGTAAGGAGAAAGAAATATAAGATGAGTATATGCTGGTGTAAGAATTTTGAATCAAATGCTTATACTCATAATATAACATAATAAAATTTTAAGGAACCACATTAGTATAACTAAAAGTAGAAATAGAAGATGGCTATACATGAGCCAACATTGTTCCAAAAATGATTAATAGACCATATTAAGAGCATGAGGAAAGGTAGAGTGATTTCTTATAGAAGGATTTGGAGGTGGATGGTTAGGACTCTTGTTGTTAGTGAAATCAAATATAAGAGTGATTAAAATTCTATTAATTTGTTACTACATTATAAGAATAACATTTATTGATTCTATAAAAAGGCAAATACAAGAATATAACTAGGAACTTGTGGTAAGTCCATGTCTAAAATTTGTTATTAACATGTTCATGAAATACATAAGCTTATAAGAAACAACACAAATTGTATATTTAGTAAATTGTATTTAGATTATATGATGATTATAATTAGCCTATCCTACTACCTTGAAGAAGTTACAAAGTGTATCCTCCTCTCTCTTTTTTTGGCATAGTATTAGGATGTAGTGATAAGCTTTGGTGTCACTACATTCTAATAGCTTATAATGAAGAAAGAACAAATGGAAGGTGCAACTATGTTATCTATATATTTTTTTCTCTTTTTCATGTTATCATAAGATGGGTGACAAATATGTGAGACCTATTATTATACAATTTTTTCTATTTTATAAGCCTTTTTGATTTTAATATAATCTTGAACTTGACCTGTAGATGAATTTTCATCATTGAAGTTTGAACTTATTAATATGACAGTTCAAGTAAGGAATTCCAAAGATAAGAAAAAAATATTGTCTTTTTCAATATGCATGGTTAATTTTGGCTTAAATATATTGGATTTATTTTTATATCCTATTATTACTTTAGATAAGATAATTTATAGAAAAGAGCAAGTTTAAGGAATATATTTTAAAAATCCATATGTATGCTAGAGGCTAAATCATATGCAAATATATCATATTTTATAAATAATAATCTTTTGGATATTGTTATTATTCTAGTGTTTTCAACAGTGGTGTAGCCAAAATTTATTGATAACTTTTAGTTAGAAACATCTTTTTAATCTAGATGGAGTTGATGTCATTTTTATTTATATTGTTTTAATGTATTTTGTTGACTTCTACATCATTAGCCCAATAGAATTACGTGATTTGTGATGTCATTGGCTTGATGTAATTTTGTTTAGTGTGTTGCCTCTATGCATCAAATCACTTATATATAAACTCTTCTCATTACATTACATTTACTGTAAGCTTAAGACTAATCCTCTATTTATATTTGTGCAAGCTCCCACTAATAATAATTTTAATGGAGTTTGTATTGTTTGTTTGCATGGTTGTGAGCTCATTTAGAAAGATAAAAAGGTTAGAGAAAATAAGTTAGATATTTTTAGCATTTTATTTATTTTTAATAATTTTTATATAGTTGAATCAATATGAAGCAATATTTATATTTCAACAATGAAAATAAAGTAGTTTTCTAAATATAATTTAAAATATAAACTATATAGCTGTTCCTTTTTATGACTTTAGAGTTGTTTAAGTTATAGAGCAAGTGACTCTAAAGGAGATTCTCCCCTTAATCTACTTGCCCCAAGTTCATTTAATTTGTTAGAGAATTTTATTGAGAATAAAAATATGAAAAAAACATTTTTTTTGGTATATTGTGTTTATAATGCAACTTCAAGTGAAAAAAATTAGTTTTTGTAATGAGCTTTATGATTGCAACAAAAGTCAAACATGTTTTAGTTAATTCCTAATTTTATTTCAAAAATATTATTCATTGTTCTTCTTTTTCTATCTCAGCTTAAAGTAAACATTTTGATCTAAGATCGATTCACAATGCCTTTATGATGGGAGATATAGCCTTACGACCGCAAGCATATGAAAACACCCTATTAGTGAGTACATCAAAATGTATAACAAATCAACAACTATTTTTAGCCACCACACCCTTTTCTCTATAATCAATTGCTAATTTGCCTTACTCACATGTTTCCCTAATCTCGTTATGCCATTTGCCATCTTAAACTTGAGCTCAACAAATTTCTCCATATCCCTACACCTCTAAATTTAATTAGTCGAGTCCTACATTACATCACTAATTAATTGGATTGTAAATTAAATTTGTTCATCATGATACTTTGAATTTTTATCTCATCTTATTTATTGATGTGAGCTATTTGAAAAAAGATAATTTGGCCGATTCATATACATTAATAATTTCTAGTATTTGAGCAATTGACTGATCAACGCCTCTATTTGATATTGACCTTATCATCCAAAGAAGTTTAGGAGCTCAATTTAGGTAATAAATATTTGTGGAGATGGTGGAGAGACCTGCAATGCTCTTTGGCGCAATATGTTGGCCTTTTAAAGAGAAGCATAAAACTAAGTGTTGCTTAGATGAGAATGCTTAGGTGGATGAGTGGCTTTACTCTTAGAGACAAATACGAAATGAATATATATGTGATATGGTTATTGCAGCTCTAGTGACAAACAAAATGAGATATAGCCGTCATAGATAGTTTGATCACATTAAACGTCGACCATATGATGATCCAGTTAGGAGAGTAGATGTTTTAGATTTGACATATGTCAAGAACAACACATGTAGACCTAGAGAGATTTGGACATATCATATAAAAAATGATCTTAATTTATTAAAATTAAATAAAAATATGACACTCAATAAGACGCAAAGGAGAAAAAAGATTCGTGTAGCCAACCCCACTAAGTGTGATAAAGACGTTGTTGTGTTGTTCTCATGCCAATCCCATATTCAATTATTATTATTATTTTGCTAACCAAATCCTTAACTATATTAGCTATATTATCAAAATAAATAATTAATCCTATAATTAAAATTAACACTCAATTTTTCATCCTTAAAAAAAAATATTTTCCTCATTTGTTTTCATAATGGAAGTTCAGAATATTTTGTTCATCCATTTTCATTTCATGGCCCAGTCACGACATTAATGCACAGTAGCGGCCAAAGCCAATTTAATGTCAACAAAAATTAATAAATAAATTGACCAAATAAATTTTTCTACCAGCTTAAATGACCTAAAATATTCATCAAAGAAATTATAAAAAGTACAAATTTTGTTATTTTTTAAATATTAATTCGAGAAAAAAAATAAAATAAAATAAAATTACTCTTATAGTCAGAGGTTATTCAGCCAAAAATCAACAATTTCAAAGCTTTATAATCAAAGGTTACATCTTTTTATAAACACAGCGATTTTAATCATGACGCCCGGCCCGGCCCGACCCAACGTTCTTCGACGAAAAAATATATTTTTGTCGATTTCCCGCTTTTTTCGTCCCATTTTCCCAAATGCAAATGGAACCTTCTAACTTACTGTGTAGCATTTTTCATTTGCTATCTCACAATAGCGAGCTGCTGAGATAGATTGATCTATCGACCAAGATATTTTATTTTCTTGCATGATTTTAAAAAATTTACCCAAAAATCATAAACTTGGTCCAAACTCAAAACCACTTCAATAAATAATTAAGATTTAAATGACAAACTAATCCAAATCTTAAAGAACCAGTCAATTTTAGTACTATCTAATTTTTACTTTTTTTATCTTAATTGAATACTTAGAAATAAAATATTAAAACTAAAAATTTAAAACAAATACTTATATAGATTATTTCAAAACTTTGATTTGAAATATTAGTTATTAAATTAATAAAAAATAATATTATTATAATAATATTATATTATTTAAATTATATTAAAATAATTTGACTAATTACCAGTCATAAACGCCAAATCATATTACTTCATCCAGTGCCAGTACATGAAATAAAGAAAATACACAAGCACAAAATGGAACAAGTGGAAAAAAGAAATCACAACAGAGTAAATTGTTCCATCCTGCTATAACAACAACACAATTCAATTCAAATCTTTGAAAGCTTAAAGTAATGGAAAATTACACACCTGTATGTAATTTTCATCATGCTTTTCCTGATGAGCCAAATAGCTGCATCTTCTCAATAATCACAGCTTTCATTGCCTCCTTCGCCGATTCCATCACATGAACCAGATCGTTGCTCGGCTTTCGCAGCGATTCCATGTATGCATTTCTTACTTCTGTATTCACATTGAACTTCCTGACACCTAATGCTATGCATTCCAAATAGAAACAACATTCTATGACAGCATTACATGCATCATTAACACCATATTATTTATAGAAATTACAATTTGATGCTTCTTTTTGCAACAATGCCTCAATATTGAATACTGCAGTAACACTAGCAACTTAACATTTTAATGATTTTTTAAATTTCAATAGTGTGGTTGTTTCATGAACAGATACGGGGTAGTTTTTAGAAATGTTTGAAGAAAAATCACCACGGAAAGCATAAGCCACTGTATTTTGTAAAAAAAAAATAAAGAGATTATTAGCATTCGTAATTAAAAAATGTCAAATTTCGCTTAACATGCTATAGATTACATTAATGGAGTCAAACAGGCTTAAAAAAGTAAGGAATGAATTCAAACAAAAATGATGGTTTTTGGATCAAATCCCTCGAAGGCACGTGATGAGCGTAACTTGTAAATATAATGTAAATTCTTGTATTTGACCAAAAATAATCTATTTCAATTTTCAATCAATTCATCCATAGGTGTAACACTGCATTATTGTTTTGAGAAGACAGAAAAAATGCATAAAATAGAAATTGGGATACTCAAATTTCTCACAGAAAGATTCAAAAGCCCCAATCCAAGTATCATTAACTTATGAATTAAAAAAAAAAAATCGAAAAAAAAATAATAACAAATTATATGTTGAAAGATTATTGTACCTTCACGAGTTCGATGGGCAAACCAGAGGCACCATGGAGAACCAAACTCACATTTTTATTTGAGGTTATTGCACGGAGTTCCTGGATAGCAAATAACATGGTTAATAACATTGCATCGCCCAAATATTCAGGAGGCTTCGCTTAAATCTTCAAGTAATTTGTCAAAAAATGTCAGCCAGCAAAACATTAAAATATTTGGGTTAATTATTTTTACATAGCTATGTTTCATTTAGTAGCTGAAATAGCAAATCATGTCAGGATCAAAATGATGATTTTAATTATATTCACTTGTATAATTTTCTGTAATGCAAAAATAGAAATCAGTTGTCATAATTTTCCGGGATATTAATAAAATATTGATTTTCAAGTTAATGATAATCAAGTGGTGATGCTAGGTCTTTTTCCTGAGCACAATTTGTTTATTTATTTAATCTTCATGATAATCCATAGAGAAATTTAAATCCACATGACTTCCAAAACTTAATTACTGTCCTGACCAAGTTGAAATAGTGTATAGATCTTTTGGTAGATAAAAGTCAACTGGCCTGTGTTCTACGACTACTGATGTTCAGCAATTATTAAGCCATGTTTTATATTTTCACGTTAGGAAGATTTCATAACTACTTTATGGTTTTTAAGTTGATGTTGGCTTGTTAGTTTATAAAATATCTTTCATACTTTGGCCACGAGGTCATTTTAGTAACTCCGATCACTTTTTCTTATTTCCCTGATATTTTTCTTTCATTCTGTGTTTAATTCTTCTTTTACTGTCAACTGATTCGATTGGTGGTAGATTATTGCACTGGCCAATTTGATGCCAGTTAATGATTGTGTTGATGAATTGGATAGCTACATGTATCAGTGTAAGGTTCTTCTCTTGTTTTCTTCATTTTCTTTAAATATTTTGGAATATTTACACGCATACATACGACTCAATCTTATGTATTCACATATCTAACACCTAAGCTTCAATTTTTAAATATAAGCCAACTTACCTATACATAAAAATTTCATTTTACCTTTTAGAAGTCAAAATAGTGGTATTTTTTATGCGATATGAAGGATTTGGGTGGTATAAATGTGTGGTATCTTTTGTGTGATATGAAGGATTTGGGTGGTATAAATGTAAAAAGGCAAAGTATAGTTGTTAGATATGTGAATTCATAGAATTGGGTGGTATGTATCTTAGTGTCGCTAGAATTTTTTAGCTCGACTATGTTACCTTTTCTATTGGAGGGGAATTCACAGTTGATTCATGCAACTATATAGGCATAATCAAATACTTTGATGGTTTGAGACATCCACTTGCAAATTGGAAGACAACTTGTTTACTACTTTACTCATTCTTCAAGGATTATTCAAACTAACTGTACGGTTATTTTCCTTCTGATGGAACTTCCTTTGTGTTCTTATTTCATAACTATCAGGATTGTTTTACTTTAGATATAACTGTCTTTGTTTTGCCGCTTGGTTTGCTTTGAGAATCTGTTGGTTCATTGGTTTTCCACTTGTGCTCGGAGCAAGGTTTTTAAGCTATTATTCTTGTTTATTTTTTAAATTTGGTTAAGATGTTATTAGAGATTATGAAATATTTTAAAGCAATGATCAAGTAGGGGTTGAATCGTAGAAATTAAACATTACTCAAGGAATCACTAAAAAATAAAATTAATGTTAAGAGAAAGCATATGATACATGTAAGTTGCTCATCTGCATATACGCTTATTTAGCATATTAAAAAGAACCATATTTTATTGAATATTTGATTATGACAGTATGTGGAGTATAAGAAATATCATCTTATGAGGACTGCTTGACAATGATATGTTTAAAATATAAGTGTAGGTTGGATAAGCATCCCCAATGGTGACAAAGAATTTTTTATGGAGGCAAAAATATCTTTAATGCAATGCAATAGCGATCATGCTGAGTTTGACCTTGGGTCTATCGAATTTGATGATGTAGCCTTCGAGTTAAGTTTATGATGTCCACTAACTTACATATCCATATAAGATATATTCTAAAGCTAAAATAAAATATAAGTTAACAAAAAGAAATCAATGCATTTAAATAACATGTACAAGTATACTGATATCTCTCGGTGTAAATATTTTAATATACTTTTTTATGTATTCACTATCATAGTAAAGTATTAATCACATGTATTCATTTCATGATTCTGTCTATTCTTGATTAGCATGTAAGTTGTTTACCGTTCTTTAAATATTTTTGAATAACACGCTTTGAACTTCTTATGCTTAATTTGAATAATTAATTACGACATTGGTGAAAAATAGTGTATTACATTATGTGTCATTTCAGATGAAATTAAGTGATCAATTCTATCTCGCACTCTATTCAGATGACTAGAATACCGGAAGGGGTCGCATCATGAAATTGATCACAATGCTATTAAATCTAGCTCAAGTTAGACAATACAACTTAAAAAAATCTGATGTTTTATATATATATATAAGATATAAACAATTCAGTCAATAAAGTTTTGTTGTTTTGAAGAACACCCTTCCAATTTATGATCCACAATTACTATTCAAGCTAAAGGTACTTGCACAAACAAATAAAGCTTGTGGTAAAACATCCATTAACATGCATTAAATTCATAAGATGCTTCTACAACACATCACTCCTACCAATCTTTCATTAAACTTTTATTGCCATTTGACTAACCTTCAATAAGTCAAGTCTGAGGCGAGGACCACTAGCTGGGTATTTCCCATGCACGTTTCCAATGCAAACTGCTAAAGCATCAAGATTTGTCTCATCAATAAACTGTTGAGCCTGCAACATAGATGCTGAGATTTAGCAAAAGCCTATGGAACAACTAAAATCTAGCAGCTCACAACAAACACAATAAATACTTGAGCAACATCAGTTAATCTGGCTTCATATTCCTCAACAGTTAAGCCATCCTCACTTCCTGATAACCGGCCAAGTTCAGCTTCGACCAAAATTTCTTTCGCATGTGCTAAAGCTGCTATTTTCTTTGTGAATGAAATGTTTTCTTTGAAGGACAAAGTTGATCCGTCAACCATAACAGAATCAAATCCCTGCAGCATATGTAGGATGGACAGCAACATTCATAAGGCAAAAATTCATTGAATTATATCATAAACGATCGATATAAAAAATTGCACAATACCAACTCAACAGCTTCAATCAGCTCAGCTTTGGAGCACCCATGATCAAAATGCACGGTAATAGGTACCTGTAATAGTTCTCTTCGCATTCACTTTGTACGTCAAGTAATGAAGGGGTACAAATGAACATAAACGGAAGCGTACAGTACTACAAGTTAATTATTATTAGAATGAAATCTAACTCATTAAAATAGAGTTTAAAATCCGATACTAAATTGGGCATGTTTTATACTCACCTTTGCATGGTAAAGTCAGCTCTCTTATCTCTCTTTATACATCCAACTTTTGCTTGTAGAGAATGATACCGGAGGAGAAATCCCAAACCACAACAAAAACCTTTAATAATAGGAAACGAGGGTTACAACACACGCAAACTAGAAATAACATTGCCAAAACATAAACCGACACAAATGGACACCTCAAGAGTGTATTCCAAGGGCGGTGAAGTTTGGCTAGGTGGATTGGGATAGTTGGCCAGTAAGTGGAAAGGCCGGACAGCAAGTGGGAGGCTGTATAGCGGGCGGGGAGGCTGTATAGTAAAAGGGGAGGCCGGCCAGCAAGCGGGGAAGGCTGACCAGCAAGAAGACAGGCTGGACAGCAAGTGAGGAAGGCTGGACAGTAAGAGGGCGGGCCGAACAGCAAGTGGGGAAGCTGTTGGGGGTAGCTAGCGGCTAAGGGAAGTGGAGGAGAAGAGGTAGGGAAGATAAAAGGAGAGATACAATCACCACCTCGAAGTAAGATACAACCGAAGCACCAACATCTCTTCTGATACAACCCACAAAGGGAAAAAGGACTCCTCACAGGAAACTGAAATCAACACACAGCAAAAATTCCCCAGACTCTTAGCAAACTAGCCTACATACAACCCTAGCTAGGCAAGAAACAAGAAAAGAAAGTAAAGGGGAAAGGAAAGAGGAAGAGACAGCCGATAACGCTCAAACCAGCATGATACACAAAAAGGAAAGACGCCGCCTCTCCCCCAAATCCTACTCGATCTGGGCGGGAGACGCGAAAGGACAGGTCGCCTGGTCCAGTTGATGCTGCTTGCCCCATTGGATGGCTGAACCGGGCTCCCTGGATCTGTCTTACCAACCGGTTCAGCCGGCTGCTTGTTTTCCTGTTTCCTTGGACCCACGACAATGCGAGAACCCGCTCCAACGTCCACGCCAGGGAAGCCCTACATCAGCCTCCCAGAGTTGGGGAAGCTTCGACTTTATTTGTCAAAGCTTCAGGCTCCTTGTAGTATTGTATCAGGTAGGCGACGTTGAGCGTGACTGAGACATTGTAGCCCCTGGGCAGGTCAATCTTGCAAGTGTTTTCGTTCCAAACCACACATGGGTAGAATAAATATCCATCATTGACACGCCCTGAGCCGGAACTGAAGGAAGACTAGTATTCTCACTAAGCATGTATCAAGCTATCGTAGTTGTAATCCGCTTCTTCCACTTCTCATAGTCGGCAGAGTGCACTGATGAACTAGTATGTAAGGAGAAGTCAAATCTGGGGTGACAACAATTGAACAAAATAATGAAGAATAAGGAGGAGATGATGCAGCGATCACTGCAAGTTTTGGCACAACTGTAGTAGTTGAAATAGTTTCTTGAGCTCGTTCACAGAGATGAAAATAGTCTCCTTAAATTACAAACAATTCTGGATGACAAGCCACAAAGTCATCAAGCTTTCTATAGTGTTTCTTGTGATCATGCCAATGTAGAGGTGCAAGCATTGTTTCAAGCCTATTTGGCAAGGTGGTGCTAATTCTGATTCGACCATCAGAAGCAGCTGGAATTGCCCGACAGATGCAAGCCAAAAGTGCTCGTTCGTCTGGAAGAATGGGCTCCTTTGACGTATTGGTGGTCATTGAGCTTGGTTCTCCGATAACAAGAGCAGAAGGTGCATAAAAAATAAGGTTATTCTCAGTGCGTTCTGCTGGCATTAATGCCATGAATTTGAGCAGCACTTTCAGACGCATTGTAGGCCAATTGCAAAACTTGCTGGTGCGGTCCATTAGTTGCTGAGTCGGCATTCTGATCTAGGACCTCTTGTTTACTTGTCTGCTCAGTTGGTTTAGATAATGGAGCATTAAATTTAGAATTATTGTTTAGTGTTGCCTGCAGCCTTTCTGGGTAAACATGATGAGCTTTATTAGTAGATTCAGGGGACCTTCATGTGCTCAGTTGACACAACTGTTTCCGGACCAGACCTCCATGTTTGGCTCATGGGAGCTCTAAGATATTCTAGATGAAGTATATTTTCTGTAGCAGAAAGTTCATGGCAATAATGAGAATGACACCTAAGAAGATTATGCTCCAATTGCGACATATGGCATTTGTCTTGATTCTAAAGTTGAGAAACTTCTTGAACTACCTGCTGCTCCTGCTAATGGTGGGCTGAAATTACATCCATTGATTGAAGATTTTCGACAGGAGTAAAGGCAGCCATCCCAAGTACAGGAGGATGAATATGGACATGTTCAATCATAGCAGGAATTTTTACCTCAAGGTCTACTGGAGCTGGTTGTGTCTCTTCCTCGTTGGCTGAAAAATGAGAATTTTCTATGAAATTTGTATCTTCTTTCTGGTCACTCTTCATCTCTTCAACTAGAAGTTAGTCTGCGGTGTCTTTACCCAACTTTTTGATGACGCTCTAGTCGATGAAGTAGATCACTCCCTTAGCTGTGCATATTGTTTCCACATGTCCGAATCCGTGGCACTTGCAACACTTTCTGGCTGTGACAGACTTATGAATTGATTCTGCTGGATAGTGGGGTAGCTCAGTGTTGTGGTCTTTCTACTTCAGAAGCTAGAGTATGCAACTTCTGGCAATAGGAAGTTGGTAGGAACTGACGCTGTGCTTTCCGCTTCATCTTTATATCTTCTCATTCCCTGCTTCGACCTTTCAAATCTAGGCAGAGGGTACCGTCCCATTGAACTTCATTCTCAATGTCCGCGAACCTTCAATGAAGTTGGCGAATCTCTAGCGTATCTCCTCTCGAGAAGACTCAGGCATATATCTCATTAATGTCATGACTAAGGTTTAGGAATAAGAAAATAATTTTTTTGGAGGTGGCTTGGAGAGGGATGGATGCTAGAGAACCCTAGGATACGACTAGGATTGAGCTTGTTCTAATACCAAATGATACCAGAGGAGAAATCTCAAACCACAAAAGAAACCTTTATTAATAGGAAATGAGGGTTACAACACACGCAAATTAGAAATAACATCACCAAAACACAAAACAACACAAACAAACACCTTGAGAGTGTATTCCAAGGGCAGTGAAAGTCGGCTAGATGGATCACGAGGTTTGGCCAGCAAGCAGGAAGACTTTATAGCAAGCAAGGAGACTGTATAGCATGAGGGGTAGGCTGGACAACAAAAGGGAAGGCCCGACAGCAAGCAAGGAATGTTGTAAAACAAGTTGGCAAGCTGGACAGCAAGAGGGCAGGCCACATAGCAAGTGGGAAAACTGTTGGGGGGGATGGCGTCTAAGAGAAGTGGAGGAGAAGAGCCAAAGAAGATAAAATAAGAGATACAATCACCACCTCAGAGTATGATATAGCAGAAGCACCATCACCTTGGATACAATTCACAAAGGGAAAAAGGACTCTCCACAAGAATCTGAAATCAAGACAAAACAAAAGCTTCCTAGACACTTGGCAAACCAGCATTAATATAGCCCTAGCTAGGCAGGAAACAAGAAAGGAAAGAAGATGGGAAAGAAAAAAGAGGAGGTGGCCGATAATGCTAGAACCGAGCGAGAGACGCAAAAGGAAAGTTGTTAATTTCGCATCTTCCCCAATTGATTTGGGCGGGAGACGTGAAAGGACAGGTCGGCTGGTCCGCCTGATGCCGCTCGCCCTATTGGATGGTTGAACTGGGCTCCTTGGACAGGTCTTACAAGCCGGTTCAGCTAGATGTGTCCCGAGTAGGCCCGGGTCTTCGAGTTGATCAAGACAAAAATGGACGGTTGAACAGTGAAAAAAAATTCTCTGTTATTCTAATTATATTAGTAACAATTTAATTAAATAATATATGAAAGAGCCACTAAAGAAAGTAATTAAATTTTACAAGTAAAAATTATACCTTTCTTATTGTTATTCTCCTCTTCTGTACATATTTGCTCTTCTATTTTTCTTGTTCAAATGTTTAAAACTTAAAAATAATATTAAAACAACATAAAAAGTTATCTAAAGATAACCTAGGAGTAATCACATTTCTAAACTAGAGTAATCCAAGGAGAATAATTCAATATATATAATATTAGTCTAAAAAAATCATATAATATGCTGGTCTTTCATATATTATAAGCAATCTGATATATGCTAATACATGCATCAATAATCATTTTCTACATGAACATACTCAATCTTCTATAAGCATTTACTTTAATTTTACCTTTACTTTATACTTTACATACACATCTGCCTCTATGAGGACCACCGTCAACAAACCTAACACACATTTGGTCGATATTACCCCGCCGACTCGCATCAGCATAGCGATTAGCAATCTACACATCGCAATTGTCTAGGGTGGAAAGACTCTTAGATGTCCCTAGCCAATATCATCCCGTCAACACAACGATTAATAATGTAAACATTATAATAATCTGGGGAGGTAAGCTTTGGTCTATTCGCCCCTGTCCAATAATATCTTATCAACATAACGATTAGTGAACTAACCATCACAATTGTCCGAGGTGATAGAAAAACTTTATGCACGCGGGAACACTGGCTTCCACTGTTTGTACCATTAGAGGGTGAAATCATCCTCTAAACATGCACATACAAACATTCACATATAAATTATTTTATTTTTCATACATGGATTATTTTGAAACATTTGTATGCAATCTACTAACATGGCTAATTCTCTGTTGTGCAACTATTTATTATGCATATCTTTTATATCATTCATATATCTATCTCATCCTTATCACTTACTTATATCATGCATATCTTTCACACATGTCTATCTTACATATAACGTCTATCTAAATATCATTCATCTCATACATATCTTTCATACATGCATATCTTTTCCGATTATGCTTATTAGGCATATCTTTTATATCTAACAATATGAAAAATCTGACTGACTTAAAGCATACATATAAATCAACATACAATCTGAAACAAAAAAAAAATTACCGAAATTTAGAAATGTAATTACCCACCTAAGTTCCACACTAAAACCTTAATCTTCGATAACTAGCTGGAGACTGCATCGACTTTTATGTCGTTATTAAAAACTTATAAAACATAATATTAAACTTTAAGATTTAAATAATATCTATTAATCAAATTAATCTTCTTAAACTATCGTAAAATAAATTTATCTGAAATTACGGGGTCGCTTTACAGTGATAGTCCATACTCTCATATGGAGCTTAAATTTTTAGTTGTGAAAATATTGGAGTGTAGTTTTTACTGGAAAGTTAACGACAATTTCTCGATCAATTTTTTCTCTCCATGCAATTAGGCTTTGAGCTATTCCTATTTTTCATTTAATGTTCTTTATTTATTGCATTTTGTGCTATTGATAGTGAGATGCGACTCCACCACTTCAAATAGTTGGAAGACTTCTTTTTTTATGGTTGTCAAGCAAACATTTCAACTTTCGTGAATCTTGTGAACCATGCATTGACTAAGTTGATTTCTGGAATTTTTTGCAATTTATTATGAATTAAAGTTTAAGATTGTTGCAAGGAAAATGCAACATATGTAATTGGGCTATTCTCATTACTAGTTAATTTGGATTTATTAAACATGTACACTTAGAATTTAACTTTAATTATACACCATTGATAAGGATTTAATGCATGTAAAATATATTCTGAATCCCCCTCCCTATTTTCATTCATCATATGGACATAGAAAAATATTCTTAGAGAAAAACAGGGAGTGAGTTTCCCTGAAAAAACAGGAAAACTATACCTTCCAAAAAGTAGTATATTTTCAACTTTAAAACTGAAATTTTAAATTTTTTATCAAGATTAATTCTATGAGATGATAAAATCTGGTCTATCCACCCTTTAATGTCTGAGAAAAATGTAGCGCCCACCATCCATTATATATTACAGATCTATGTTTGGTCATCCAAACAACAATATGCAGGATGCTCATGCACTTACTTTGGCGTGCTGGGCAGCTGAAACGCAGCATGCAACCAACGGGAGTCCCCCTTGCTTTAATGCACCTGGGTGAATCTGGAAAGAAGAAAATTGTTTGTTAGGAAATCAATATTCAGTTTACAAAGATCATAATACAGAACAAAAGCTAAATATTAGAGTAAGAATATCATGCCCTAATATATCTATCAATCAATCTATTAGAGTAAGATATATATATATATATATATATATA